TTTCTGCTGAAAACCTTGCACTGCAGTTGTTTTTTGGTAGGGCTTTTTCTTCTGCTTTCTTATAAGCTGAACAGCCTTTCCAATTGGCGGTGTGAAATTCTCCAAAATTGACACATTTTAATTTTAACTTCAACGGTTTTGAGTAATCTTCTGTTTTATGTTCTCCACCACATTTTGCATAGATAAATTCTTTATAACAATAATTTTGAGTATGTTCAAAGACTTGACGATCCTTATACTATAGCAAATTGTTATTTTTTTTTGGAGATTATACTTTGATGATAACATAAACTAATTAAGTCGTTATTTCTTTATTGTTATATCGATGATCATGGTATATGCAAAATAAAGGTAATTTTACTATTGTTTTTTCATTATTTTTGTCATTAGGATTTATTTTTTTCCTAATTTGAATCTAAGTTATATCACTTGCATAATGACCATTATTTGCCAGGAACCTTTTAATTTCGTATCTTTTAGTCCCGGGTTGTAATCCTCTGATTAAAATACGATTTATATTTGTAATACCAAATTTAATTTTTTTTTTCGAGTACTTTTAAAGTATATCTGAATCAATGTTTGTCACCAATCATAATTTTAATATTACCTTTAGCAATAGTTTTTAATTGTTTCTCATCATCTATGACTTCATCATAAGTTAAATTAGAAATTAAGTCGTTGATATTTGTTACACCACATGTATTTATTGGATATGATTTATACATTTATGGCGCAAGTTTTAATAATATTTTTCTATTTCTTCTACATGTTTTTTTGGTAAACTAAATGAAGCATTAAAGCTACAACCCTGTTGATTATCAATAAAATTTTATTTTTTATTATTATTATGTATGCCACTCACATGCTGATTAACTTGCTAATATTCCAAATGTTCAATGCCCATTTGGAGTACCATTAAGAAAAATAATTCGTTTTCACTTTGTAGTTGAGTCAAAATATTTTAATCAATTGCAATTTAGTTTGGCTGAGTAGTTATACATGATTAATTATATATATAATGTCATTATACATTAGGGTGACCCTTAGCTACATGAGAGGTTTTTTTTTTTTAATATTACAAAGTGCCACCCCCTAGAATTATTCCAATACATGAAAAAATAAATTGTACAAAATTTGGAGACGATTGGTCAACTCTAAGACGGGCCCCAGGGTTATTTTTAACCCCCCAAAGGTGATTTTTTAGTTTTTTTTTTGTCTATCTCAAAAACTTTAGCTTTTGCGAAAAAGTTTAATTGGATTTTTGTGTAGGTATACAATTTTTCTATAAAAAGTATATATACAAAAATTTNCTCGCTAATTCTAGAATATTCTATACCCGCGTAGGTTATCTATGGCGTTATCGAAGTTTCTCGAAGGTTTTTGATAACGAGAACATTCGAGAATATTCGTTGCGTATGTTTTGGTCGCTACAAATAGTTCATTGTAAAAACAAAAAAAAATTCATTTAACCGTTGTTTTTAATTTAATTTTCTATAAATTTTTAATTCGACATTTTTTCTATTATTTACTATTCAAAACCTACAATTTTTTAAATTTTAATTTAAAAAAAACACATCAGAGTAAAATTAATACCGTCTCAACTTGACATTGAAGCTAAAATAATGTTAACTTATAAATTTATGTACAATCAGAAACTATATAAACTTGTAATAAAAATACATAATGAACGAATATTATTTAACTCTTTGATTGACAATTCAAATTGGCCCCGAAACAAAAAAATATTCAAAGAATAAATGGCCTTGGCCATCCAACGAGTATGATGGATTGGGCCAGGAATTTTAAAATAAATTCCATGTAAAGGTGTTTCACCAAAAGATATTATGACCAATTCTAAAAGTTCTTTAAGGTTATCTCGAGGATGGTATTTTTGTAATTGTTTAAAACTAAATTTCAAAACATTGTCTTTTTTTGTTTTTAATTTTTCTAAAATCGTCTTAGAGTTGACCAATCGTCTCCAAATTTTGTACAATTTATTTTTTCATGTATTGGAATAATTCTTGGGGGTGGCACTTTGTAATTTTTAAATTTTATAAATAAGGGGCACCCTATTATACATATCTGATGTTAACAAAAAACAGCGACACGATTCGTCGCGTGCAACTTCACCTAAAAATTTGTTGATACACTGAACACTTTTTCGTAATAAGTAAAAACATTTTTCGTTATTAAATATTTGTTAAACAATACGCGTAAATTCGACACTGTAAATCGGAACATACTTGTTAATTGTTAAACAAATGAATTACAACTCAAAATATTTAATGGATTAAAAGTTCTTTAAGATGTTTAATCCTGGCTCGACATTATTTATATTGGCTGAATTTCATGAGATTAGTAATTATTACTTATTTATTTTATTTTTTTTTTTTTGAAGAGTTGATTTTATTCTTTCCGGTATCTTAGGTGTATGTTTAAAGTAAGGTCTCCTTTTATTTTTCAAATTAAATAAAATGTATGTACAAAGTTTGATACATTGCTGGAATGTTTGAGACCTTATCTATATTTCTATACATAAATACTTACTTGGTATTTGATACAAAAAATATAAACATCGATTTCATAGAAATAAAAAAAAAATTTTTATTTGATTACAACAAATTATAATTATTACTTTAAATTAACAATGCTCGTGGTTAATTGTTTAATTTATATTATTAAAATTTATTTTATGAATCTAATCTAATGTGTCAATTATCATGCATAAATTTTAAATATATTAACTGAAAAAATCCCTTACGTTAAAATTTACTACACAGTTTCCAAGGTTCAATAAATTGTAAGTTAACTATTGTTTAATGGTATTAATTGAATCGTTATTCGAATCGATATGATTCTATCATTTATGTCTTGCTGTATATAAACTTAATTAAAATTCAATGTTTTAAGTAAAATGCTTAGATTTTTGCAAAATACTTTTTATTTAATTTGTAAATGTCATACACACTTTTATGTAATGAAGACTTGAGTTTGCAATCATTTCTCAATAAGAAAATCCCGTTAAAACTTTTATTTAAATAGTACTTTAAATATCCGTTATGGTTTAGTGTAGATATTCTTTCGAAGATTAATTGTAATTGAAATCATATAAATAATTAAATAAATTAACAATTAAAAACATACATTTTGTTTATCAATTCTAGTTAAATCTTTGATTACTTATATAACAGAATAAACGTTGTTCTTTACTAAAAACAGTAAAAAATGTGTGCATAAAACAAATGTCTTATACTAGTTTATATTTGTCAACAAAAACAGAAAAATATTTACTAAACAAACACGTCAAATATTTAATTTTTTTTTCCTAAAAGCAAATAGTTTATTATATTTTGAGATAATATCCATTTGTGTTATATATTTTTATGATTGAAATTTATAAATATTATTGTAATAATGTTTCTTACTGAACAATGACGTAGACATTTATAGAGAGAAACACTTTTGTAATAGTATCCTTTTGTATAATAATTGTATTTAAATTTTAATATATATATATATATATATATATATATATATATATGTATAATAATAAAATATGAAAGTGAGAGTCTAACTTCTCCTTTTTTCCTCTTGAAAACGCTTGTGTCAATTACTGCTAAGTAAATCTATTTGGTCTGTAAAATGTATCAGGATTAAGTGATTTAACGACTAAAGAACGATACCTTTTTCTGATCTAATAAATAAGGTTTATACCATAAAGTAATAGGTTGAAGAATTAATGTGTTTTCATTATGACACAATTTTGTCAAGATAAATACAGTTAGACAAATTCCAGTTTTTGAAAATCAAAATTAAATTCCTCGAGTTTTAACTTTCTAACCATCTTGCATTTTATTAAGGTACTCACGTTGGATTAAAACATTTTGGTGATCGTATGTCTTTTATAACATCATTAAATGTTGAAACTTAAATAAAAACTGTACTCAATCAAAAATGTTTGAGTTAAAAGATAAACAAGGTTTTCTTTAAATATTCCTTGAAAGAATAAACGGATTACTTTGAAGTATTTAATAAATGTTACATTTTATAGTTACTCTTAAGTAAACAATCACTCTTTTATATATGTTTTATTAAAAATTTACCATAGACTTTGCTTATCATTTTATACGTCGATAAAGTTAGTGTAATTTAATTTTATAATAAAACACATTTGAAAGTACTACAAAACTCATACGATCAAATATTTATTTTGCATAGCCAGCTTCAAACTCAAATTCGGTCGATCTAAAAAAAATCTGTTTTGGAAGTGTGTAATTACCGATAAAACTATACATGTTTTAATAAATAGTCGGTGGTTAAATGTTTAATTTACTAATTAATGCTAACCGCCGGCTTCAATAAATGTTGTTAATTAATTTCATATCAACTACAAACGATTATAGTCGATTTAGAGTGTATTTACAGTTTGTAAATAATAGAGACATAAAATTATTATACAATAAAAAATGTGTGAATATGCGTTAAGTAATAAATCAACATTTATTTATATATTTGTTCACATAGGAATATTTTTCTTACACTAATTATAAATATTTTACCTGAAAATTAAATGTAGTACTATTTTTATTTTATTTTATTTTACATATACATAAAATATACAATTATTTAATCGATTTATTTTACAATATATTCGCAAACTTGTATAATGATAATTTAGTTATAATTACTTTAAAATATAAACAGCCTTTTTGATATAATAATCAATAAGTATAATATACATTTTATGTTAATTCAATGCTCGTAATAAACATACAGATTCAAGCAATCTCAAACTATGCTGGCTCATAGAATTACTATATGTTAAATAAAATATATCTTGAATAGTAGTTGGCTGCTAATAATTTGTAATTAACTATTGTTATTACTATATTTTATTTATTCGTTTCTGGCCAAAATACTTGCATCGGTTAGCAACCATTTCATGTATAAGAGGCTGTATTTTCTTTTACCGTTGATACATTTTTGTAATTTGTTTTCAGTTCAATACGTTTTGTTTTTACATCCAAACTACAAGAAAGATTATGACGGCTTCTCCTAGCCAAGAGCAATACGCTCTGGAGATGCAGTTGGTTTTACTCGCATCCAACGCCAAGTATTTTGAGATGTACCGGAAATATCAGTGGCTATTTCTTCGGCGTTACTTCAAGACAATTGGCGACTTCGGCAAATTATCCTTCGCTGTTGATGTCCGTGAAATTTCCGATTTCGCCCATTGGCAAATTCAGAGCGAACGTGTTTCGAACCAGCAACTGCCAGTGAAAGACATTTTTCAGCTCGTCGTCGAGTTGTTCACTAAACCTAAAAACGCGCTGCAATTGTTATGTCCTGACGATGAAATGCGCTTCATGAAAATGATTGTATCGAACGATGACAGCTTGTCGTTGGAGACATTCGATGGGTATCAATACTACTCAGTTTTCTCCGTAGGCGCTAGGAATTCTCTTCAGTTCGACGAACACGACAAGCGTTTCGTTTTAAAAGGATGTCGTATGAGTGATGTCACTTCCTATCTGCTTACCAAGCGCGAGTACGACATAAACGCGACGCCGAAGTTATCGAACGCGCTTAAGATGTCCCCAGCCGTCAAGTGTACCGGTAACAACAGACTGGGCGATGAACTTAAGGCAGTGGTCGTGTTTCGCGTGTCGGAAGGATCTTGTTGTCATGAACCATTAGAGAAAAACTCGAGGCCTTGTTTTTTATTGGTATTTTCCAAGACATCTAGAAAGGCGATCGTTAAGGACAAACCGGTAATGCGAGTAAAACCAACTCCCAGAGCTACGAAGCCGCTGATTGCACAGCCTAGACGGTCTGAAGTTCTTGATCAGCATGTGAGTGGAACGAGTCGGCCTGCCTACTCACATTTTGCAGTACTTAATGATCCATCCCAAGCACACGACTTTTATCCTACCTATAGTCTTAGTGAGATTACTTCATGGATACTAGGCAACTGATCACTTATACAAGTGCATGGTGTTAATATAACGTGTGCTTGCTATTGAGAAATATCTCATTATGTTTTATCTGTGGAAGCGAAGATATGTTTTTTTAACTGTTTATCACATTTTTATTCTATTTGTTATTTGTTGAATAAATGTTGTTGTCAAGTATATTGCTGTATATTTTTTGTATGTTGTTATATAGAAATATAACAATGTTCTTGGCATCAAAATATAATAATTTATATTTTGTTATCAAGAACATTGTTAACAATTTCAATATGTTTTTATGTATATTATTTTGTTATAATAAACGTTATTAATAATATATCAGTCATATTTTTTTTTATTATTTATATAATATATACAACTAAATGTTTCCGTAGAGTGTAAGATTAAATAAATTTAAGTAAATCAGTCAATATAATTAAGTCGAACTTTATACCGTTCTTTTTACAACTATATAATATAATATATTATATTATATATAGAGTGACTTAACCAGTAAAAGAACAGTTAAGAGTTTTTCATTTTTCTTAAATTCTTTGTTAATTTTTATTTTGATGTACACTCATACAGATAATAAATATTTGTTTTCTGGAAAATTTTCTATAATTATAACGTAAAAATGATATAATTAAAATACTATAAATATTATAATATTATTTATGTTAAATATTTGAATTTATCAGTGAATGAATAATTAATGATATAAAATCAAATTGTTGTAATAAAATAAAACTCAATTTAGATATTTTCTTTTTGTAAAAACTACTAACCGGCTACAATGGTAACATGTTACAATTTGTTTAGAACATTATTTAGTAAAAAACTTAGTTGCATTCGTTCACTAGTAGTGTTCATTTATTGGTGATGTTACCCTACTATATAATATTAATTGAAAATCATATATTATATGATTTTTAGCTTTAAGACTTTCTAATTTTAGAGAATCTCGTCAAAGATTTTCAGACTATTTTTCTAGTTAAAAAAATGGGAAGCTTTGATATATCTTGTATCAATGAACACCATTAATCAACACAACGATTTTCTACGTTCCATTCGCCAGTGCAAAAAATTGCTTACACTTGTTCTTTATACGTAATGATAAACGAATATTTACAATTTATAAACTGTCAAATCAACTCTCAAATACGAACAATGTTTGTTAGGTAAGGTTACATTAAATATTTTTAAAGGTTTCTTTTTTTGACGAGATATCAGCTGTGTATCTAAAAGAAGTAGTTGGTGTGTAGAGAAAAGCCGACTTCTTCAAATTCGATTTTTATTGGGCATTTTTGTTTTTTTTTTGTCTATACATCGTATTTAACATACACATTTGTGCATTTTATGACCACATTTTATACGGTAGAATTGGCACCGATCCCCTAGTGCATATATTGCCGATGCAAACATATATTAGTTGGCGTTAGGACACATAATTTTGGGTGATATAGCCAACATCCAAGAGCGCTAATTATAGTTTGTCAGTAATTATTAATTTAATTTTCATGATTTGTCTTTCTGTAAAATATGTATTTACTTTTTAGAATTTAAAGTAAACATATTAAACTTTTGTTGGCCTCGTTAAAAAATATATTTATTATTTTTAGAGTAAAATAATTGTCATACATTTCGACTTGGTATCTTTATAACTGTTGTATAATAAATGTATTAATAATACTACTAAATACTAATAATAATACTTTAAATAATACTAATTTGAATAATATAAATATTTTATTTGATTTGATCTTTTTGCATAAATTTTATGTTTGACGCAACATTAATCATAAATGTTTTAGTTTTATATTTACTATAAAAAGAAGCCCAACAATGTTAGACTAACATTGTTAGTCGTCAATATTCAAGTGTTGCTAAAGAATTTTTTCAAAGACATATAAAAATCAAATTGAAAAATATGTAATGTAGAATGAACCTTTTTTTGTGTACACAGTAGCGAATTTTCCAGTTAAAAAAATTACTGTTATTATTTCGGCTTCACTCGTTTAGTATTTAGGTAATTTCTATATTTTAGTTTTCTTATCACGTACCAAGAAAAATAGAATTCTAAATGTTGAGTTTATGAAAACTACGAGACATTTATTAAGCGCAAAATGTAGTTAAAAAACCTTCTTAAGCTGAATATTTAATTCATATTGTATCTCATAATTTAGTCACAAAATTATGAATTTATATAACTCTATCGTTTTGTATAAACTTTATAAAGCATGAACACATCACGGTAAGTTTATTTCAAAGATATCAGCTATTGTAACTTGCAATTCGTAGACAATTTAACAAAACAAAACATAGTTTCGTATAAACTCCTCAAAATTTGATACATTTTGCGGTTCTAAATTATATAGTAGTGGTTTTGATTTATGGCAGACTAGTAGAAAATCATTAGTCTTTGTTTTTGACCTCTGAGCCAAGCAAAGGATTTTCTAATAGAAATGGTTTATTTGTTACAAGATTATTTTGAACTGGGTTAAGTGATCCTAATCATATGTTGCTGAATGAAATTTTCCATATCAAATTACGTTGCTCTTCTTGAACTTAATCGTGAAAATGGTCTTAGGAACTATTTATAAAATATAATCCGATTATATTTTATAATAAGGACCTTTCATATGTTTTATAATAAACGTATTAACTTAATTAAAATTTTTTTGTATAATTTACAACTTAGTGAAAATAATATTTCTCGGGATCCTATTGTTATAAAGTTCAAGGAAAATGATATAAGTTAAACTATTCATATAACATATATTTTATATATCCTCAGGCTGTCAACGGTTTTTAATGAAATATTTAGTCAATTTAATTGTGAAACAGTTTTCTAATTAAAATTTGTAAATTAAAATAAGTTTCATTTATGATCTGTGTGTACCTTACATAAAATATTTTGCAAAAACGTATTATATAATGTAATGTATAATTAATTAAAAAAGTCTTAAATTGCATTATAACTTTATATTGTACATTATATACCGAAAAAAAATAGAATATAAATAAAATATTTTGTTTAATAAAATTAAAATTTATACTTAATTTGTACGTTTTCTTTTTAAGTCATATAGTTATATATTTTGGACATTGAAATTTTTTTTTCATATTTTATTTTTTTAATTGTAAGATACTTACTAAATTTAATTAATATTAATGAGGAAGCTATAGATATAATCAGAACTAAATGTTTCTATTTATGAAATAAATACGTACATTTTAAAGTGCAATAACCATCAATTTAAAAAGACTTTTATAATATAAAAAAAAATTATCATCAGTCTTTGTCTTATTGTATTATTCACACTTCAAAACTTTTTTAATTTCATTTGGCCAAAACTTTTCGAAAAAAAAAAAATATGTCCATCATAATCAGTATATAATAAAAGTTGATCACTTGTGACTAATATTACTTAAATATAAATTATATTAATAATATTTAATTCAAGTATGTGTTTAGCGTTTATAATAGTAATATTATTCTCAAAATACACGTATCCATGATTTTCTAATAATTTTTTGTGGCTTTTTAAGTTAATTTTTTTTAGTTTTAAATTAAAATTTTTAATATAGTTTTAATTTTAAATATCATGAACAAGTTTATCATTATTTTGTCACTTTTTATGTATTCAATTTTTTGTAAGTAGACGATTAGCGATAGTGAATTTCATTGTTCAACGTAATAAAACTATTTATATATTTATTGATTTTAATAAATTTTTACAAAAATCATTACATTACATATTTTTACATTAATGATTGAGAAATAAGATAGCTATGAGGTAAGCACAATTTCACTACATACATTTAAAAAAAATTTAATATATTTTAAAATGTATTCCAAAGTAAAACAAATGGATTATTTTGATGGAGGAGGGTTCAAAGGAACATTTTTAACCCCTTAATTTATATTTTTTAGTTTATTTAAAATGACAATGAATTATTCGGACACCAAGTAAAATATGTTCTAAATATTAAGATGAAATTTAAAATCAATTCATCATCAATATATTTATATCCGATTGAATAACACTACTAACGTCATTTAACTTATAGCAAAAATAATTTTGTTTCTGTATAATAACATATCTTTATTTTTAAAAAGTAGTATGATTAAGTTTCATTAATTTAAATAATCTTGCGCTTACATAAATATAATTAGCGAAATTCTGTGCTTGACATCTGACAAAAGTAGAAAATTATTGTAAACCTACAATGCGTTTAAACTAATTAGTTTAAAAAAGAAAGTAACTTTACTAGTAAAGTTATTTTCTTCTCCTTTCCAAAAAAAGTTACTTTCTTTTAAATTTAAAAAAACACATCTGGTGTGTATTGGAAAAGAGAAAGAAATGAAAAACGATTTGAAGATTAATAAAAAGGTCTTGCATTCAATAAAAACATATCTTTAATGACAAAAATTTCTAAAAATATCCCACCATTTGAAATTATTAAGCATATTTCTTAAAAAGCTCTCAACATTTTCATATACCATAATGTAGTAAATTATGTCATTGACTTAAAAAAAGGGAAATTAATAGAAATACTATTAAGTTTTAACATAATTAAATAAAACTTTAATTTTTTAAAAAAATTTACCAATGTAACTGTTACACGTAATTTTCGGAATTCAATATATAATTGTCATGTTAACATTGAAAATTTTAGGTAGTAAAATAATAATAACGAATAATGTACTTTTTATTTTAAAAGTATATATTTGCTAGCAAAGCATTTTCATTTTTTCATAATAATAACAAATTAATATTAGATTTATTTTATGAACCATAGTTATTATCAAGTTTATTTAAGAAAAAATTATCTCGAAGAGTATATTTTATGGGTAACTTTCGAAATTTAAATGGAAACCTATTATTAATATTTTATTTACTATTAAATAAAGAATAGTCTATGAAAAATTTTAACTAGCCGATAATTAGTTTTGTATTATTACTTATTGAATTAATGTAGTTTTTAATTATAGGCTAAGGGGTGCGCAACTTAGAATAATTATTGTCTTTGCGTTACTGTAAAAATAGAGCGTTGCTAAACACTACCTTACTCCTCAATTTGTCTAAATCATTAGAATCAAAATACTTATATCACAAAAATAAAAAAA